ACTTTTTACAAGTGTAATTATATTTTAGTAACAATTATCATAAAAACGTTGACGTCTCATTAACTAACGCTTTTCATTTCGAAACCGTCTTAATGGCTACCGTTCGCCGGTTTTGCGTATCACATTATATTATTAAATTTATTACTATTAATTTCCACTCATCTACATGACGTATAATATTATTATCTCGACTATTTGCTTACCTACCTATAATATTATAATGTTCACTAGCTGCGTCGATTCACATGTGGAATGAGTATAATTAATATTTCGATATGTTTGTGGCGTAATTTTCTTCTTTTTGTACAACAATATATTATAATATATTAATATGAATTATGATACTTGTGAAAAGAAATCTGACAAAATGCATGTTAGCTCCAAGCTGACTCGCGCAATCATTGTAATTTCATATTGATATATCTTCATAATACAAGTTACAACTGTATACAAGTGTAATATGTGCAGTACCTATATATTATATCAGTTTATAGCTGCACCGTACCTAATTATATTATATAGAATATATTATAGGTAGATAGTAAATAAACAATAGATTTAATACTTCATGCCATGTCATATTATTAGTTTAATAATATAATATAATAAATTATATGCGTCGTGAATAGGCGTTACGCATTATGATGTCCGTTGACCGTTCATAATATTATGACTATAAATAAAAAAACAGTTAGGTGCATCTACATTATAGTTTTTAACCATTAACACGATGTTTTGGATAGAAACAAAATGGTATGTAATGAGTACCATTTAAAACACGCATTTAAACAAGAATAATTCTTGTAATTATATATTATATATAATTATATATTATTTTTATAATTATTATAGGTATAATATCGTAATTGGAAATTGTCTGATCGTTTAATTGTATACAAATAAAAATTATAGGTAATCCCAATATCTAGTCAATAGATAAAATTTAAATTGATGACTTGTCATAAAAAAAAAATACCTTATAGGACACATATACCTAGTAATCGTTATATCAAGGTATTATGCTAAAAAAAAACTTGTTATGATTTCTTATAAAGGTACAAGAATAGAACTTGTATATTATGCAATACAGTTTTAATATTTTGTTAAATTTATTGTGTTTTATAATTATGCGGAGAAACGAAAAAAATATAATATTTAAAGAAATCTGGTCACTTTAATAAAAAAATATAATACCTGTTGAGTTAAATTATGAAAACTACGAAAAGTCGTATCCACGGTATATACGTATTGGATCTTTTTAGATCTAATTTTAGGATCACCCTGTAGCTCAATTTATATATTTTAGTGGGGTGTTTACAGCCCCCAACAGGGTTCAAAATTTTTTATGTAAACATGATTATTACTATATATAGTATATAAATATTATGTATTTATTATTATAAATTTTCTGTAGAGACCAAATTTATGACACCAAAAATATGGACAACGCACAAGTATATTAGTGAGCCTAAATAATATTATTTACAAAATTTTGGATAATATTATAATTTAAATTGTTTGAATAATGTTAATAAAATATTTGTGGTCGGATCTTCAATACATTTGATTGTTGACTCGATGAACTGATATATTTTTTCTATCTTCAGCTAAACTATTTAAGGGATTTTTAGAATCATTATACATACTAAAGTATTCGATTAGAATCAAATAAATATTTCATTCACTATTATAGAATAATAACATGTTCTCTTAGAATCAACGTTTAATATTATTTATTACGTCGTATATAGTGTATATTATACAGTTCTACCTAATTTTATTCTTATGAAATTTCTATTTTATTCAGACTAGATTTTCTACAGATTTGTTAGAGAAAATGGTTAAATGTTAAATAAAACTGTACAAATTATATACCTATTAAGTACCTAATATGAGTAATAAACTATTGTTTATATGGTGTTTATTTAACAATTAAAGCAATAATTAGTAATAAACAAATTTAATTATAATATGTACATTATATCATTATGAATCAAAAACTTTAATTTTCCTTTTATGAATTTTTAATTTATTAGGTACTTACCCAACTACTTATATTTTCATTAAAATTGTAATAATTGTATTTTTATCTATAAGTGACCATTGTTTTTAGTTTTTCTTATTTGTTCTTTACTTTTGAGAGTTAAATCTAATGCACAATATTACTTAAATTTAAAAGTACAAGTCTTTGATTTCAAATTACCTATTAAATATATTTATTAATAAATACATTAATTATTTATTAAATATGTTTGATTTTTTATAATTACAAAATTTAGTTTTACAATAAATATATAAAAACAATATAATAACATTTTTAGTAGGTACCTACCTACAACTAATATTATTAATTATTTATTTTATTTTTAAAATTATACTTTACACATATTGTTATATTCTGTACACATATTTTGTTTTGAATGATTGCCAAATTATTGTACCTTATTATAAAAATTATTGTAAAGGGAAAACACTGGTTTAATTGTACAATTCACATATTATTATGTGTGCCATACACCTATGTGTACTGCGAAATTGTTCAGAGTTAAGATTTATTTTAATAATTAATTTTTTTTTAGTCAGCTATTGATTCTGGATTCATATATTAATTTTTAATAACGAGGTAAACTAAACTGATTAACATATTGTAATAATACTAATAACTAATAAGTAATAATAATATTGTCTGAATGTATTAATATAATATTATTTTTATAATAAAAAATATAAATAAATATTTTAACTATAATCTATACATATTCCATAATGTATATTAATATTTTATATAATAGGTAAGTATTTAATATATTTAACATATTTAGCTGGTCATCAAAGATATCTACTTTTTCGAAACATATTTCAAATTTGAATAAAAGTTTTTATTAAAATTACGAATTTCCTGTACAATATTATTGCGTATTAGTTTAAGTATAAATTATGTTGTTTAACAAGTAAAAATACAATATAAATGTAAATTAATTACGTACGAAAAAGCAATAGTTTAAGCATATTATACATAATTTTAGGACATTTTAATAAATTTAAATAATATATATTTTCACTAATTAATTTACCATAACATTATGTATGTACGATGTACTTAATACTTAAGGCATTAATTCCACATTATTATTTCAATACTTTATTGTCAGAGTCAGTAACATATTTAAAGGAGGAGGACATCTCGGCCTCGATCACCCCGGCCGTAATTTTTTTAGAAAGGTATTATTTTACATGGCCAATCTTTTGTTAATTAATAATAAAGTAAATAATTTGGGAATAGGAATATTAATAACAGTTAGGAAAGATGAGTCGCTAGGCTATAATAAATCAAATAGAGTAGGTACTTTAAAAAGTTGATTTAGAAATTGGAATATCAATGTATAAGTATAACTCTCTAATCCAGTACATCAATGATCTTAGAGACTGTTTTACTCACTATGAACAAAGTGGAATAATAAAATCTGGATAGTTGAATACAAAACTAAAAGATAAAAAAAAAAAATTAAAAATCTGAGAAGTTTATTTGAGTTCTAAAAAATCATTTAAAATTAACTCTTATATTGGGTTCCATAACGACTGTGTTGAGAAAAATACAAATTGCATAATATGACCAGGTAAATGCGAATTTTTCATACATTTCTTTACTTTACCTAAAGACTGAAGAGCAATTATTATGAGTATCAATTAAGGGGATGTGTCTGTAACTTAAAAACGAATGATTTAAAGACACATATTATACCCTTAACCCTTATGTAAATATTGCATTGATAATGTATCTATTTATAGTCAATGTTGTCCAGTATCGAATTGTTTTTCAAAGCGATTATTTACTATCATTTACTGAGTGAACTTTACTGCATTAAAACGAATAAAATGTTACTTGCTGTCGAGAATGGCGGATGAACGACTGAACAGGTTGGCCATAATATAAAATATTGAATCAGACAACACAAGTTTAAAATATGAAGACATAATCAATGAGTTTAGCTCTAGAGAAACGTTCGTAAAATACTAATGTGACAGATAAATAAGGATAAAAATGTATTAAATCTTTAATTTATTATTATAAGAAAATAATGTTATTTAAAAAAATTATAATTGTCATGAGCGCGGACTGGGGGGGGGGAAATTAGCACCAGGGCGCAACATTTCTGAAAACGTCTCTCTCTATAAATTGTACATAGTATCTAATATCTATTGTACGTATCATAATTCATAATCTAAACTGAACATGAGATTAACGATTGTAATATGTTTTTATTATTCAAATAAATAAGTGTAAATAGATACACAATAAAAATAATTAAATACAAAACTATGTGTTAAAAACTATAAATATTATTTTTTATGTACAGTTCTAAAAAAAATAAACTAAGTACTACAATAATAATGTCACAACGAAATATTAATTAGATATAATTTAAATAGGGGAGAGTGGTCAACGATGACACTGTATACGACTATACATATAATGAGTATAGAAGTGTGTACCTATATATTATTATGTCGTAGTACAAAATGTAATATATAGCTTAACGACGACGTTGTAACGCAATAAAGACATTTGAAATTATGGTATTGAATTACACAAAAGCCTAGAAATATCCGATCATCCAATATACGCTCGTTTCGACGAATAAATTATAAGTAATTAATGAAAACCATTAACACGAAAAAAACACAGGGGTGTATATACCTACTAGTTATGAAAATCTATATTGACATCGATATGATCATATTTTTTATACTACAAAAGTATATTTTCGATCACTGTTGAATATAAATAATATATATTATAATAATAATATGAGTACATTGTGTAGGACTGAGGGTCGGCGCGTACGTATTATAATGCGTAACGACCATTCTGCGTCGAGTGGTCGGATATTTCTCGGCTGTTTGTCGTGAGCACCTGTGGCGATACGGTTCTAATAATAAGGTTATCATTATTATAATATTATTATATGTGTTGAGCAGCTGCTATATAGCACAGGCGATCATCGCTGTTCGTTGTGGTGCCGTTTACTAGCCATTGACGACTGGAAGAACGACTCGATGGGCAACAGCGGTCTGTCGGCCGCATACGAGGTGTGGTACTTGTGCCTCGGTGCCGCCGGAGTTACCGCGACCGTGGTTGCGACGTAATCTACGTCCTCGGAAGACGCGGCGTCCATCGCCTCAGAAGTGTTCTCGTCGAGGGGTGACACGGAAGAGCTCCTCCTGAGACCGTTGTGCTCTTCGGCCGCTGCGACCGTGGCCGGCTGCACCGCGGCCGTCCTGATGGTCGGCACCGTCCGCCGTTTGGCCGAGTACACAGCCGGTCTGGTCGGCTCCGTGGCGGCCACCGGTTCGCTGCCCTCGTCCACCACCGCCACCGCTGAGTCGGTGCTCGTCCTCAGCCTGTTGTAGTACTTGCCAGGCTTGTACTTGCTCCGGTACGCACGTTCCGTGGTGGTGTCCTGTTGCTGTTGTTGTTGTGGTTCGTCCGTGGTAGTGGTTGTCGATGTACCAGCCTTGTACCGGTTGGGCCGGGTCCCGCGGCTTGTACGTCTTCCGAGCCGTCGTGTTGCCGGGCTGTTCAACGGCTTCCGGATCCGTGGGCGCGAGACTCGCGGTGGTCGTCGTCCTCCGTCCTACTGTAAACGACGCTTTCTCCGTACTGGGTGCGGTGGTGCTCGTCGTAGTGGTCGAGGTTTTATAGTCTTTGATACTGAATCGCGGTCGCGTACCGTTTCCGTACTTGGATTTTATCTTTGCCCGCGCGTCCAGCCGCTGCAGCGTCGGAGGCACTCGGCTGGGATACGGTCGTGGTCGTCGCGGTCGTGGTCGCTGCGGTCGTGGTAGTGGTGGTCGGCGCCAACGTCACTCGTTCAGGCACGTTTTCGTATTCGACTGCCGAATATGATTCTTTGGGCCTGGATGACGGCAAAGGTTTCTTTTTCTTAAACTTGTTCACCGACACCTGGACCGGTCGTTCTTCTCTGACTGGCGCGTTGGTCGTCGACGCCTCAGTCGTGGGTACAACCACCGTTTCGTAATCTTGGTGTTGTTGGTATTGCTGTCGTGGTCGGTAGTCCTGTTGGTGTTCTTGTAACTGTAACTGTTGACGATTAGGCACTGCATACTCATCGTAGTCGTCCGGCACGGCGGTGGTAGTGGTGGTAGTCGTCGTCGTGGTTGGTTTTCGCTTACGCGTTGTCTTGGGAGCTACCGTGGTCGTGGTCGTAGTCGTGGTCGAGGTCGAGGTTAACATCGGCTTGGTGGGACTTTTCAATATGTCATACTGCTCGCTGGACTCGTTCTCGTCCTGTTCCTCGCGAGCGTCGTACTCTGACGAACCACCCACCGTGGCGTCTTTGAAGTACGACGCCTTTGGACGTCCGTCCGAGTGTTGCTGGTGGCCCAGCGTAACCGGAGTAGGCAGAAATGCAGGCAGTGCGTTGACTTCCTTTACCGGGAATATCCGATAAAGCTCTTCGTTTTTGGGTGTCGGTGTCTGGTATTTGCTGAATGGCCTGGTCGCTGGGTGCGTAAACGCGGTCGACAAGTCCACAGTCACCGGGCGGGTCGGTAGGCTGCCGTGTTCCTGGCCGAACCGCACTTCTGTGCCTACGTTCAGGTTGTGCACATACTGATTGGGTTTTATAAATACATTTTGATCTCCGTTTGTCTGTTCAAATGGTCGTGCAAAATTCGATATCTGAGGATACAAGTTTTGGTTTTCGACGTGACCTGGATACTTTTGGAAGTACGCCGATGGTTCATCTTCTGTAGACGATATTTTGTACTGCTGCTGCTGTTCCTGCTGTTGTTTTAGTTGTTGTTTTTGTTGTTGTGGTGGTTGTTGTTGTTGGTGGTGGTGGTAGTGGTGGTGTTGTTGTTGTTGTTGTTGTTGCTTATTTTGCTGTGGCTGTTGTTGTATCGGATCTGTGGGGTTTACTAAATAAGGTTTTGGCCGTTGTTCCGCGTATACTTGTTTGTTATTACCCTGTGGTCTCGGGAAAATATGATCATTGGGCACATAATATGGTGTCAGTTTTTTAGGGGGATCTTGTACGATTGGTGGCTCTTTGAACCCAAAGCTCTTATGGTTATTATTGTTGTTGTTGTGATTGTTGGGGTTGTTGGGGTTGTTGTTGTAATTGTTGGGGTGATTGTTGACGTTATGGAATTGGAAGTTTTGGTAGAATTGTGGAGGTGGTTGTGGTGGTGGTGGTTTTTGATAATTTTGTGGGTGACGTTGTTGAGCGTTGAAAACTACGATTGCGGGAGGCTTTTGGTCTTCTGGTTCATTGTAATCATTCTGTTGAAAACGACGGTCGTTAGTCTCTTCGTAATTTCTGTCAAAGTTGTAGCTAGGCCTGAAATTTAAAGTGTGTGCTGGCTCTCGTGCTTCGATAGTTGCATGACCGAATTCACTAAAAGAACCTAATATAGTGGGTGGTGGTTGAGCGAACACTTCAATTTTGTTAGAAGCCGCTGGTTGTGGGTTGAGTGGTCGGTTGGTATACCGGACGGGTGGCGTTATGTGCACTATCTGTGAAAATCCATTGTTGAGTCTAGTTGACCTTTTATCGATACCAGATACCGGTACCCAGTCGTCTTGCAAATCATTAGAGAAATCCTAAACAATCAATAAATATGTGAAACATGAAAACGGATAATTATTTTTAATACAATTAAATAATTTACTTACATTATTTTCCTTGGGTAAATAGAAATGTTCACCTTTGACGAACAAAATGAATCCTGAAAGAAATAATAAGTATTATTAACGCTGAATCTAATAGTTATGAATCATAATAAAACTCATAATATTAAATTATTTTGAAAACTAAAACTAATATTTACCTAAAAGGATACTCAAAGAAATCAAACAAGCGGATGTTCTTACACTCATTGTTTAGTCGTAAAACCCATTTACTCCTGAAATACATACAAAAATCATATATTAAAAACATTTGTATAATTTTACCTCCACGTAAATACGTAAGTTTAAAATGAAGAACGTATAATTATCAATATTTTAAGCATAATAATTATTCAATGTCATAAGTCAATAGCTGTGCGGATGTACGAATTATAATTCATTGAAGTTCCTAATTTTATTTACTTTCTATTCATTACATCACATAGTTCAGTATCTATTAATTCATTTATTATACTTTTTTAATTATAAATTTAATAATTTAAACTGTTAAATATTCTAGTTACACTTAACATATATTATGATAGTACTGGAATAACAACAGAGCAAGTAGAATACTATTTACTAATAAGTTAATGAGTTATATTTGAGGTATAGAGACTAGAGAGGTTATATACCTAAATTCACAAAATTAATAAATTTATTTGATATCACCCCAAAAAAATTAATTTTTCTTAAAATATATATTAACAAATAGGTAACAATGGTTTTTTAAATATATTTTAGTTTTTTTTGGGCGGGAGAGTGTCTTAAATAAAAAATACCCATATAAAAAAAAAATCTAAAATAATTAGAGATATATTATTATAGTTTTAAATATTTAAATAGTTACAACTTTGAACTTATAAGTTATAAGTTATAACTATTAACTATAGGTACTACTGTACTAGTATACTACGAGGTGGGAACTTACTCATAAACTAAAACGATTTTTTTTACTAGAGTTCAAAATATGTACCTTTCTCACCTACCTTGGTAACAAAACAACTCAACAGTTGTAGTACAGTTCCCACTTATATTTTAATGTTAAACTAGTCGAAATTATTACACCGATTTGTTAACAGGTATGTATTATTAATTGCATACTCTACGTTTGATAGGGAGCTCACAATAAATAACATTATATTACGTATTATTAACTGTCAATATTTAATATACCCCAATGAATCCATTTTAATTTTAGAAATAAACAATTCCGAATTAATTTGACAAATATATTATATTTTACATTAGACAAGAACATAATACTAGAACACCAAATTTCAAATAGTTTGTTTCAAATTTCAAACAATTACCATAAAGTTACACTTTATAGTGAATAGTTTTCTTTGTTCACATTTTATAATTAAAAATCACATCGTTATCGGATTTATGAGAATTGGAAATATACAGTATTTCCCACCAAAACTCCAATATTATTATATAACCTAACATATTATACAGTATTGTAACATCATAGTTTCATTACCTATGTGCTTTTGAACAAACAATTCTATATTCCGAATTCAAGTATTTTTTTTATTCAGTAAATTATCATTGAGTTTTAAATGTATAAGTTATAATTTATAACATTGCAAGTGATATTTTATCATACAATAATATTTTCAATATGCCATCATCCTAAATTAGGTAATCTTATTGTTGATTATGATTTTTTTTTTAATACATGTTTCCTTTTAATTAATTATTAAATATATATAATATATTATTTAATAACTAATTATAATTTTGTTTGGAAAAAATAACTATTGTTATCTGTACTTTCGCCATTTGAGGCTGTTCATATAAATAAATAAATAAATAAATAAATAAATAAATAAATAAATAAATAAATAAATAAATAAATAAATAATACAAAATATAAATCTCCAATGTTTGCCCCAAATAATCTCAAAGTTTTGTTGACTCCATACCGAATCCATATTATACAAGTGACTTTTTATACTTTTTAATTTTTTTAGTAGACAATGTTTCAAAGAAGAACATAGGCATGGTTATTTTTTGATTTTAATTTATTATTATATTATATTGGTTATTATCCTTATATTATATAAATAAAAAAAAAAAGATAGGCGTATTTATTATGTTCTGATTTTCTGGCGAGGCAATGGTATATTTTTCTTGTCGGTATCCATTATATTGTAGCATGTAGGTATATCTGTAATCTGTACATAAACAATAAACATATTATCCGTTTTATTGTTTATCGGTGTTTACAGCTTAGTAGTCTGCCCAGTATTGGTGTCCATTTTGACAGTGTTTCTAAATAATTCTAATTTATATCAACGTTTTTCCGTCAAGAAAAAACAAAATTTCATTTCCTGTTCTTTTGTCTTTTTACTTAACAGTAGAATGTGTCATTTTACATTCATCTAGTCAAAACGTTCCACGTACGATCGTAAAAAAAAGGAAAGTGTATGACACAATAAAACATGTAAAATTCACATTTATTAGTAATTTCGCATTTGTTTTTTTTTATTGTTAATAATCCATTACGACTTTCGGGTGACAATAATATTATTTAATACGCACCTTTATGTATGCGCTCAAATTGATACGTTGCCATACAAACGTCAATGGAAATTGCTTATTCAATACTATTATAGATACTATATATTATAGCACATAATATTATGATTTTTTACGATAATTCATTGAATACAGCGAAACTGACAAGCACGAAATGATAACCGCAAGAAAATGTGAATAAATTCACCAACACCGGAATAGGTAGGTCCATACCGAGTGTATGCTTAATTTACTATAATATGTAAATACATGTACTTAAGTCTATTGTTTTAATTTTTTTTCTTGGAATTATCATTACTTATTACAGCCTATTAATTAATTAACATTTTTAATATAACACGACTCACCAATTTTTGTACCAAGTACTTATATTATATTATAGCGGGTAGTAATGAGTTGTATAGACGCATGTAGATATAAATATATAATATAGTACACCTGTATACCTAATAAATATTACTACTACTACAACTGACGTGCCGACTATACAATTTATTAATTTTTTAAATTTCTAAATATATCTCTTTGATCTCAGCTGTGCATAATTAAGTACCTACCTACCGCCTACGTCAGCCATGGTCTATGAGTATATTGACTAAAATCTTCGGATCCTCAAAGACTCGCTAGTAATTAGATAATTAGTACCTATATTATTTACTCTTGGTTTCGTTTAAGACACAATAAACTAAATGTATTAAAATATGAACAAGCATAATAAACAATAATATATATTATTTCGGCCGAGCATAGAACGATCGAAGAGCGAACAAGAAAACTCCGTTAACACGCGCCGCGGCCTTGCGTGGACATCCGGCGCTCCGACATAATGGCTGCACATGAAATAATATAATATTATTATCATCATCATCGCCGTGAACACTCGGAGACGAAGGAAGATTAACGTTTAATTGTCTTGTGTGCCTATATAATGTTAACGCTGACTTATGGCATAATAATAATAATATCGTGCTTACGATCTCGACGCGCGTGTTTGTTTACGCGGCAATTAGATCTATCAAAACCGCGTGGAACGCACAATAGCGAACGGATCATCTACGGGCCGTGATCACGATAACAATGCGATGGAGCAACAATAACGCGTATTATTTTACGAACGATATTATGCACATCGTCGTGTGACTTTTCCCGAGGACGGACGTGTGGGGAGACTGCCGCGACAGTGATAAGAGTGTACCGACGAGAACCGTAACGTCGGCAACAATGACTTCAAGGAAGCTGCACGCATTAATCGCGTGCAAACTGTACAAGAGTATTATAAGTATTATACTATGGTTATTTACAAGCACACTTACTATTGTCGTGTATTCGAATACTAGTTTATACTTTATGATTTTATTTTAACGTGAAAAATAAAAAACCCAAGTACGTTTTTATGCCGAGTACCTGTACCTACCCATATTTTATGGGGATTTGTCCATCGAAGAACTTTCATAGACGAGCATAAGTAGATATTGGAAAGAATTTTACATGTATTTTAATATTTATACCTACCTGCCTGCTTAATATTTATATATTTGTAATTAAATGCTTATCTGAAAATACTTTAATAGGTACTTTTTCATTTGAGCATACATCTTTCAAAAGTATTTTTAACAAGTATGCGCAATGCGCTTGTACTGTGTAGGTATGTGTTGTATATGCCATATGAATAACGTATCAAGAACAGGGGTCCACAGAATCCTGATAAGTTTATGAATGTAATTTTTCGAAAATAATATAATGGCAATTGGCAACAGTTATCATAGAAATGTATTTTAATGTAGGTATAATAAGTCCCTTCTGATGATATTAGTGGGGGTATACAAAAGACAAAACTTCAAACTTACGCTTTTAATAACTCAATACACCTCCCTATATTATGTTAGTATCACGCGTTGACAGTGTATAAATGAAAATGTTATTCACTAGGTATAGGTATACTTCAAATATACAAAAAAAAATATATATATAATGAATTATTTCATTTCTGTACGGCTATCAATTATTAGACGAGTTTAATACTTTAATATTAAGAGGACGCTATCCATGTGTGCGTTCTCTCCGTCTTACAGACGTACGGAATAGCACATTTGCTTTCATCCGAATCGATTGTGTGTTGTTACTTGTTTGTTTTAAACTTTAATATTATAGAGTGAATCAAACTATTATCAAACTTAAAGTTAAGGACATATTAACTGTACTTAAACGTCTGATTTTTTTTTTAGATTTTAATTTTTAAGCGAGATATAAGTATGTAAAATATTATAGACTTGAAATAAAAATTCACAAGACGATCTTAAAAATTTAAAATATTGAAAAAAAGCGACGCTTAAGCAGTAAAATAACGTTCTTACCCTTCACTTTGATAGTAGATCGATTCACTCTTTAATTAACAACGCGCAGTAGGTACACACTATCAATGTGTGTTGTAAGTTTCTAAGACGAAAACACGTTCATGGCAAGCGTCCTCTTATTATGTTAATCGGTTGATTTGATATCGAACATGTTGGTTCATATTTTTATCTTCAGGGCTAAAAATCTCTTAAGAATAGTTAAGATAACTGAACATTATAAACGGATATAACACTATAATAGTCCGTAATCCGTATTCGATTTTGATATTTTATCAATTTATAAATCGACTGTACTCGATTGACTTTACT